ATAACATTGTAAATAAAAGTAAATAAAATAAGTAAAATTAAAGGCGATAAAATCCGTTTAAATAGTTTTATAGAAGACTTTTTCCTTCTCAATAATCCTTCCCCGAAATAAGAGAAGGCCTGTGTAAAATATTTTTGCTCCTGAACATAAAATAGTTCCAACAATGAAGCTATTTTCATTTTACTACGTTAATCAATGTATCAATACAAGTCACTGTAAGCAACAGCTTCTACAAATTAGCTCTAAAAGCCATCTCTTGTAAGAAGTCACTTGAGTGTACTGAAGATCGTCAGGTTTGATTTAGCTAAATTGCTTTGGTATTATGCGGGCGTACTGCCTTTGCATTGGATTTTATCTCTTCCACTTAAGTGTCATTCCGAATTCCCACATCTAATAAGAATTTAACTTAATATTCCATCCTATCGAACAACAGTATTTTTGGTAAATTTGTATTGTACAAGGTAACAGGCAAAGCAAATGTTAATAGACTTTTGTAAGGTTAAGTCAGCTGGGTACCCACAACACAGTCTTTTAGGCAAAATTTATGGGTGTAAGGGTGACCTTCGATAGTCACCGGAGCTTGCCTAGATTTTAGTCTGGGTCCCTTAGTCTAGTGGAATAAAGGGCACTTACCTTCAACCGTCCTTGTCGAGCCGCCACCGTTGCTTTCAGTATTGGTGAAATCACCACTGCCGAATGTCTATCTGTGCACTATAAACTCACTGGGGCCGCCAAATTAACTTTTAAGGACACATTTTGAGATATTCAGAATATAATTTAAACACAGGGAGAGAGAGATTGCGCCGCCGCCGATCAACCGATGAACCGATGGTGGGGGCGAATGACATTAAACGGACGGGAATGTATGATAGTTCTTCTCGATCAATTAGAGTATCCGAATGAGTCCTCCGTACACAAGACCACAAAACCATACGATGTGTGTGATATGGGTATCATCCAAGCGGTCATAGCAATAGATGCGAGGAATGTAAAATATTTCTCGATCATGATACTGACCGACAGTATGGCGCGGTACTACAAGCTCTGGGTTACATTGTGGTGAACTCGGGACTAATATATGAATGTCATCAAAGACTAAATAAGGTATGTAAACCAAGGAACCAAGAGACACAGTGTATACAGGGGTAACGACGCAGCTAACGAACTGGCCAGGAGAGGATTGGCTCTGGCCGTTATAGGGCCGGAACCGATCATACCAACCCCTTATGGTAACTTTCGTTTAATGGTACGTAAAAATTTTACTAATAAAAACGCTTAGCTTTGGATTGTGATTAAGTGGACTGTAGGAAGCTGGGGAATCGAGAGAGGGAATAATAAAAAAACACGATTGCCAAACTGCCCACCAAGCGTGGTAACGGTGGTAGAGCCACGCAGCAGTTTTTGCTGTTGCATGTATGGGCCGGCTCGAGCCGGGTTGGTACCACGACCTCACAGAATACCAGCGTGAAGTAGAAGCTCTGCTTCTACGTTTCGTCTGATGAGTGTAGGTGGCCAGAGGCCCAATCTCCCCCCCACATCAACATGGTAGCGAAATTACACCAAAGACTACTCCAGGAGGGTACTAGCACCCCTGGGGAATCCCTCGCTGAGCATCCACGACCATTTTATTCCACTCCTGAGCGTAGGTGCTCAGCCTGCCTCGCGTATTCTAGGGTGGGTAAAATTCCACTCAAAAACATAACTGCTCGGGGCAAATTGAGCAACAATACCAAGGCGACCCCTGCCACGCTATCCGTGAATTTCTACAACATCAGGGGACTTCACTCGAACCTAAACGCCGTCCACTACCACATCGAGACGAAGCCGGCCTTGCTCTTTCTGACCGAGACGCAGGTGTCCTCTACGGCTGATACTTCGTATCTCTCCTGCCCCGGGGTACCAATTGGAGCACTCCTTTTTGCCTCGGGCTGGAGTTTGCGTGTTTATTCAGAGAGGACATCTGTTCTCGACGCCTTGGCAGTCTTGAAGGTTCAAACCTGTCCATCCTTTGGCTATGGCTACGCGTAGACAGCGACGACCATCCGCGAGTCTACGGGTGCCTCTATAGGTCCCATAGCGGTAATGTCGAAACAGACCGACTCATCGACCACGTCCAAATGGCTACAGATTCCTTGCTACAAAAGGTCCCATCCGCAGAGATCGTGATCCTTAGCGATTTTAACGCCCACCACGCCGAATGGCTCGGTTCACGATTAACCGATCATGCTGGGAGATCTGTTTATGACTTTGCCTTGGCATATGGTCTGACACAACTGGTTACTTCGCCTACGCGGATTTCAGATGTAGAGGATCGTATACCTTCTCTGTTGGACCTTCTGCTGACCTCTCATCCGGAGGGATACCAGGTTTCCGAAGATGCGTCTCTCAGCTCTTCGGACCATTGTCTGGTCCGGAGTGTGGTGCCACTCACGCAACCCTTGCGGTTGCGTTCTGCAGGTTGCCGCCGTGTTTTGCATTACAGGTCGGCGGATTGGGACGGAATGCGGTCTGTCTTTGCATCCTACCCATGGGGGCGGGTTTGCTTCTCGCCGGATGATCTCAGCGCTGTTGCTGACTCTGTCACTGATGTAGTGCTACAGGGAATGGAACTATTTATTTTATCGTCTGTGGTAGCTATCGGAGGCAGATCTCAGCCTTGGTTTGATCGCTCCTGTAAGACTGTATTACGCAGTAAGCAGGAGTGTTATCAAGCCTGGGCTGCAGCTTCGGCTATTCGGGATGTAAACACCAGCACAATTAAAAAAGTATAGCTTTGCCTCCAGGTCCTTCAAAAGAGTTATTGCTAAGGCAAAGTCACAGCACATAGGCAGAATTGGCGAGAAACTAGTTCGCCATCCTTCAGGAAGAGACCGAGGAGAGTCCAGAATGTACGGGGCAATCTGGTCTCACGCCAAGACTGTCCAAGGGAATTTCTGTAAGCCTTCACTACCGTATCTGCACAGGGAGGAAGACTCACTGGCCCACGCCGCAAAAGAGAAAGCCGACCTTTTAGGTTCCCTTTTTGCGTCCAACTCGACTCTTGACGATGGGGGAAAACACCGTCGAGCATCCCGCGGTGTGAGTACTCCATGCCGGATGTGCTGTTTTCACAGCGCTCGGTTTTCAAAGCACTCCTCACCCTGGACATCCACAAGTCGAGTGGGCCTGACGGAATCCACCCAATTGTGCTGAGGACGTGTGCTTCGGAGTTGGCACCGGTCCTAACGCGTCTTTTCTGGTACTCCTACTCCCAAAGCGTAGTCCCGAATTCATGGAAGACAGCTTTTGTCCACCCGATCCCTAAAAATGGCGGCCGCTCAGACCCGTCCAACTACAGGCCTATCGCGATCACCGTTCTACAAAATAATGGAATCCATTATTAACTGCCAGCTTATGCGGTACCTTGAGGATCACCAGCTGATTAGTGACCGCCAAAACGGTTTTCATTGGGGTCGATCAGCTGGTGATCTTCTGGTCTACCTGACCCGTAGATAGGCGGAGGCAGTAGAGTCCAAGGGGGAGGCATTGACCGTTAGTTTGGACATTGCGAAGGCCTTCGAACGGGTTTGGCACAAAGCGCTTCTTTCGAAGCTCCCTTCCTATGGGCTTGCCGAGAAATTGTGCAATGGGATCACCAGCTTCCTTGCAGATCGGAGCATCAAGGTCGTTGTAGAAGGTGCATGCACCGACTACAAGCCTATTAACGCTGGTGTTCCACAAGGCTGTGTGCTATCACCAACGCTGTTTCTTCTGCATATCAATGATATGTTGCTAACTGGTAACATTCATTGCTATGCGGATGAATGCACTGGTGATGCTCTATACACCGGCTTTGCCAATATTTCTCGGGAAAACGTCGCCGAGTACCGGAACAAACTTGTGTCTGAAGTCGAGTCTTTGCTGAACAAAGTCTCGGATTGGAGGCGATTAAATCTAGTCCAGTTTAATCCTACTACGAAATCTTATTGCCGGTCAGTTTAAGACCGTAAACTGAATTGGCTTGCTTTGTCGTACTACGAACGCGTCTTATTGCAGGCCAACCTGTGATGACGTAACGAAACATTTCAGTGGCCGGCAAGCTAGCTCAACGTTTTAAATCGGTACTATGAACTCACTTTTGACGTTTGTAACAGAGTTGTGACCCGTTTATTGAACAGTGTATCTGTCATATTAAACACTTCAATAAAAGTTGTTTGGTGGGAGCTTTTTCTGAATCGTTAAATATTCTAATAGTATAATAGTAAGTATTAAAAGTGTTTCTTGAAGTTATACATGCTTAATTGGGTTTCTTGCTTTAAAATTGTTACATTATTTACATAATATACATATTAAAATTCTCTAATCGTTCTTTGTGCATTAATTTCAGTGTCTAATGATTACGAAACTTTTGAGTTCCTCAAAGAGTACAATGAAAGCAAAATTGTGGAGGACAAAATGGAAAGAACAATATTACGGAGCTAAATCGACCCGTTTTCGATCGGTGACGGTGAATTTGTAAAACGATATAGTTTAAGCAAAAACAGTGTTGGAACTTTGTGATGATTTAAGACCTTGTATGACAAAGCCTGCTAAGTTTACTGATTTGTCGATCGAAACCAAGGTTGAGTATTAATTAAAACATTCATTACTAGTAAAACATTACTAAAAGTGATGTGTATTTAATGCAGTTTTAGCAAAAATTCGTACTGAATATTTTTTATATTTTTTTTACAGTTTTTACAATTATTTTTAGGTCTTAATTGCACTGTCTCTCTATGGTATGCTCCCATTGAGAACAATATATATATATATATATATATATATATATATATATATATGATTTCCAAGAGCTGCTTGCTGTACATATAAGTACAAATTTAATACATAATTTACTTGATTATAACAACAACTTCTATTATTAGAACCATTGAACATTAATAATATCTACCATTATATCATGCAGCAAGCTCAGCAAAGATTTATAATTAATATGACATTGTAGATTTTACAACAAATTTGAGATGCCTGGAGATTTAGGCTGCATTGATTTTACATATGTGGCAATGGTCCGTCCTTCACAAAATGAAGAGAGACATTACTGTAGAAAACAGTACCTATCATTCTTTAAATGTGCAGTTGGTAAGAAATATTGTAATAAAACCACAAATTCAATAATGTAATTTTATTGATACATAAATCATTTAAACACTAAGTATATATTTGAATTAATATTTTAGATATGCAATATAGACATGGATATAATCAGTGTAGACACAAGTTTGGGGAGCTTCACATGATGCTTTTATATGGGCTAATCACCCTTTGAAGGCAAACATGGAAGGCCTCGGCACAAACGAGACGATATGCTTCTTGGTAATGACTTTACATAATAATAAATAGATAGGTACATAATATACATAATTGCCATGTTTCAGATGTCTCCTAGTGTATAGTGTTACATGGTGGCTTCTATTATAAATGCATGTGTGATATTGCGCAACATATGCAATAAGACTAATGTCAGTGTAGAAGAGCTGCAGCCAGAGGTAGCTTTGTATGAGCATGAATCGCAACGATTAACTTCTCCCTGCCAGGATTCTGCCGTAAATTCTAGGGCCGCACAAAATCCAGAGCTCCGAGAAGGTATAACCGTCAGAAGTAACCTTATCAATCACCCATGGATATGTCGGAGGGCAACCTGAAAATAATTTTGATTTTAAAACTATGGTTTTTTTGTTTAAATTTTTCTATTAGATTTATAGAGAATATTTTGAAAAGATGTAAAATAAATATTAATAGTATCTAGAATACTTTTTGTATATCTCAAAACTTATTGAGTGACCTACGTATAATCTATGCAATTATTCGAACAATTTATTCTACTTAGATATTTTTATGCCAATAAATGATAGATCATATAGGACATAACGCAATTTTTAACATCTTTTATGACATACTTATGAATTATGATCAACAAATAAATATATTAATATTATTACTATTTTCAAAAATTTAAATATTATACAAACTAAAAACTCTTTCTACTTTTTTATATCTATGTGGAGATTTTGGACTTATTCTCGCATTTATTTTGCTATCGTAATTTATAATAATCATCAAACGGTGCAAATTTATAATCATTTAAGAAATCAGTTAAAAATTGTAGAGCCTTAATAGCTCTGAGACTAAGCGCTTGCCGAATATTTCACAAAATGTATGCAAACAATTTGTGTTCGATCCCTGTCAGCAGTGAAACTGTTAATTGAAATTTTTAGTACTGATTTACCCTTAACTTAATTTATTCTATGTACAACATAAATATTTCTAAGCAACCTTCTCTCAATGCGTTCCAAAACATCTTGAATTCGATGAAGAACTTGCACGAACTCCGTAATATTGCGGCTATTACGAGCCTCCGTTTCAGCCCGCAATTGGGACGTTTCAACCAAGGCTCTTCTTGCTTCTTCCTGAGTAATACGCACACGTCGATTGCGTCGTCTTCTTTGTTGTTGTTCACCTCCAGTTGGTGCAACAGAAACCGCTTGTGTGGGATGTGCCTCTGGAGTACTTGTAGGTGCAGTATGAGATATACAAGGCTCAGGAGCATGTACGTCTATAAGTACTGGTGGTTCACTTTCAGTCTCTAGCTGTTGCTGCTCTTGAACCAGTGAACTCCTGAGATTAACACCTTCAATGATTTCAATGGTATTAAGAACAACTTCTTGTTCCAAGGACTGTTGGACCTCCTGTAGAGGTATTTGGGACATATCTGAAGTCGATGCAACCTGTAAATAATATAAAATGTGATGAAGCAATTATCATTACGAATTAAACTCTTTTGTCGCTACAAAATGCATGTAGCGGAATTTGTGTACATTGCACAAAATTTAATCAATATATCTACAAATAACTAAATAAGTTATCGCGAAGATAGATATCTTAGCTTAAGTCAAATATAATGGTTAATGGTTATGTGAGATATAAGAAAAAACTTACATGAATATTTGAATCTTCAAATGGATTTACACGAATACCAGGAAGGCCCAAACCAAAATCTTCACCTACAATATTTAAAAACTTCTTTTCTAAAGTCGACAGCTGTGGAACATTAGATGGCTCTCCATCAGTTCGAGATTGCGCAGATCTAATAGTAGCACACCGCTTCTTCAGCTTCCCCTTGTAATCAATCCAGTACTGAAAAAATGAAAGCTATTTTGAATATTCATATAAATAATATACGTTTTCAACTTCAACAGTCCATAGACAGAAAAAAATTTACAATGATAAATATTTACTCATATAATACTTACGGCAGACCAGCCTTTGCCGTCCTTAATGGCACCATCTCCAAATGAATTGAGGGTTTGGGCTACCTCCTCCCACATGCGGCGGGAAGTTTCTCGAGCTTGTGCACTTTTATTAAAGCCCACTGCAACATCCCTATTGGAATTTAAAAACTCCCATAGGATTTCTAATTGAGAGTATGTTACGCGATGACGACGTTGTACTTCAGCCATTGCTTCTTTAGTAATGAAATCACATTTCGCCTTTAATCTTAACGAAACCACACAACTCCATTTAAATATTACGGTATGAAGGGTGCTTACATTTAAAATGGACATGGTAACTAATTTATTATCCACTTGACACACAAACATATTATAATAAATTCTCAAAAAGAGCACACAAACTAAATTTCGCCTCGACTTAAGTGACTTTACACCATCAATCACATCTCAAATTGAAAACACATATTCAAAAAGCCACTTTAGTTCCTCGTCGTCATCGTAAATTAATAAACAAAACCCGTAGAAACAAAAAAAGGTTTTTGTTATGTTTGAACATCTTAAAAGCATATTACTACCTCATTTCAAATGGTAATAATTTAATACATTGTTAATTTATTTAGTATTAAAAAACTACAAGAATATAGGTTTCACTTTCAGACAGACCTTAAAATTAAAGAGATAAACTAAAAGATATAACATTTGTATAGCGTCCTCTCACTCGAACGGTTAGCCAAAACAAGACAGAGACAACGCTAACCCGTGAGCAAAGCCGTTATATGGGTTTAAAACAGTTGAGCTAAGCGTAGTTCATAGTACCAAATAAAGCATTTCAGTTTAAGGTCAGAAACTGAACTGCTCGGAACTTGCCAAGTTTTATAAACACTTCGTAGTAGGCCCCCAGAAGACACAAGTTTTCGCGTTTACCGCTAAAAAGAACCCCTTTGTCGTATCTCCTCAGTTTCAAGGCACTCCCCTTCTCGCCTCAGCCAGTATCGGTATCCTCGGAGTCGACATATCGAGTGACGTGCAGTTTCGTGGTCACTTGGAAGGGAAGGCCAAATTGGCCTCTAAAAAGCTTGGCGTGCTCAGCAGAGCGGGACAGTATTTCATGCCGGCACACCGCCTGCTACTTTACAAGGCGCAAGTTCGGCCTCACATGGAATACTGTTCCCATCTCTGGGCAGGGGCTCCCCAGTGCCAGCTCCTTCCTCTTGATCGCATCCAGCGCAGAGCGGCTCGAATCGTCGACGACCGAGTCCTTTCCGATCGGCTCGATTCATGGGCACTGCGAAGCGATGTTGCATCTCTTTGCATTTTCTTTCGAATTTACCACGGGGAGTGCTCTTAGGAATTGTTCGGATTAATCCCAGCCGCCAAATTTCACGAACGCACATCGTGGCACAACTCCCGATACCATCCACACCATCGGGATGATTGGCGGTCCACCACTGTGCGATTTAGAAGATGTTTTTTTCCTCCCGCGACTTTCTTGTGGAATCGATTACCATCAGCGATTTTTCCGGACCGATACGACTTTCGACGACGAGGGACTTTCAAGAAAAGAGCCTACTCCTTTTTAAAAGGCCGGCAACGCATCTGCATTCCCCTGGTGTTGCAGTTGTTCATGGGCGGCGGTAGTCACTTACCATCAGGTGAGCCGCATGCTCGTTTGCCCCTCTCCTATAAAAAAAAACTATGGTAAGTATTTCCTCAATGAAGCAATCTATGAGTGTGGCCAACGTTCAGCTTTCACTTTTGATCGAATTAATGAAATAATTATAGATAAGACAAAACGGGCATAATAATATGTACTTCTTGGTACTGGTGTATAAATCTCCTTCTTACTTTACGATATTACGTTTGTCATTTAAATTTTAGTGAAAATTACATTAAATTTGTTTTTTGTTGAATTTAAGAGGATGAACCAAGAATATAGTACTTTTCTCTCATTAGACAAAAAAGAATGCGCCGGTGACCGAACAAAAAGTAACGTTTGCATTTTTGTTTGTGTGTGTATTTGTGTGTGACTACTGTGAGGCTTAATGGCACCTTGCTACTTCGTAGGTAATTGGAGCTAACATTGGGCCGAAAATATAAATTTTTGGTTTTAATATTAAAAAACACAACACCGATAGAAAAAATTATATCCAGGTGGATATAATTTTTTCTATCGGTGTTTCTGCCACTATCCTTTTTACTTCTCCCTTTTTAAGGGAATGGATCATTTCATCTTAGTCCTCAGGGATGAGAACGCAGCTGCATTTTGATTCTTAATCGAGGATAGGTGAACATGTCTATGAGCCATAAAGTTCACTTGCCATCAAATAAGCTTGTTCGTCACCCTCACTTCTATGAGATAATCTTTCGCAGAAATTGAAATAATCGGAAGAATATTATCATTTATTTCTTGTCCCTATTCTGTTATTTTTCATAATTATTAATATAAAATTGTACCGGAACAATACTAAACTCTGTTTCATGACTTTTACTGTATAGTTAGATTTATTACCTCATTACTAAGTAATTAGCTTTGCATCTGTTTCTACTTTTAAATTTACCTTCGTAGCTACACCTTGCATATTGATTTATTACGTACAACACGATACACCGCACGACCACTATAAGCTTTGTTCCCAGTGAATAATATGACTTTATGGGAGCCCGTAATTGCTTTTAATGTGGTAACTGAGCGGACAGTTGCGGTATAAAAAGGATTATATTGGGAAAATATGACATTCCAGTCAATTGAACTACTTATTAAGAGTAGTCAAAACAATTTTTACAGAAGCTTTATGATAATACAGTGTAATGACGTCTTAGTCTTTAAAGATATCCTTAAAATAATAATCATCATCATCATTGCAGCCCTTCATAAGTCCACTGCTGAACATAGGCCTCCCCCAAGGAATGCTACAAAGCACGGTCCTGAGCCACCTGCATCCATAGACTTCCTGCATGTCTTACCAGGTAGTCACTCCATCATGTGTGGGATCGCCCTACACTTCACCTACCGGTACGAGGCTGCCACTGGAGAACC